TGCAGTGTGTGTGTTAGTGTAATGCATGCAGTGTGTGTGTTAGTGTAGTGAATGCATTGTGTGTGTTAGTGTAGTGAATGCAGAGCGTGTGTTAGTGTAGTGAATGCAGTGTGTGTGTGTGTTATGGTAGTGTATGCATGTAGTGTAAATGGAGCATTCCAAAAATGTTATTCCCGCCTCCCTGGTTCTTAACTGGTCCAGGGAGGGAGGAGATTCCATGATCCCTGGTGGTCCAGTGGCATTGTGGGGGCCCCCTGGCTCATAGCGATCATCGCTATATATATGTGCAGAGAGTTATTGTTGGGCCCTGGACTACCAAAGCAGTTCGGGCCCCCCGCTATGGTTGTCACCCCCTGATGGCAGCCCTGATGGCCCCCCCCAGCGACGCCACTGCTCATTGGCTGACAGCTCTAAGCCTGTGAGCCACAAGTGCTTTTGTAAAAGCAGTATTTAAAAGCAACGCAGGCAGAGGGATCGATGTCTGCCTGGAAGAAGGTGTATAGGCAGAGGGGTCAGTATGTGCCTGGAAGATTTGGTGGTTTCTAGGGCTCATGGAAAATGGATGTATAGTGTAGCATGATAGGTCTGAATTCCAAGAAGGGGACCTGTCTATCCTGTTCATCTAGTGTCCTGTTGAAAAATGTGGTACAAACATGTTAAAGGGAAGGGGGGACACCCCAATGGAATGTGCCTATTGGTTCCATTGGTTTCTATGATGACTGCCTGTCCCATTTTTAGCACTTTAGATCACTTTTCAGAATACAACACGTTTTATACATAACCCACAATGATTCCGATACAGTATGCAATGAACATTTTGCAAATAAGGGATCTATTTAAATTGTATGCACCTTTACAGAAGTTTTCACTTTTTTTGTTTTTGGAATTATAGGGCTGCTTTTTGATGCATTGTCTTTTAGGGTGGCCAAGAAGAGTCTTTATTTTTTTTTCTTCTTCAAATTTTGCACAAGCATGGTTTTTATTTTACAAGATATGAATAGCCATCACACCTAAACCAGAGGAAAGATACATATTTCATTTCTAATGTAGCTGTCGAACCCAGAATTTCCCCCTGAATTCATCTCTGTTTTTAGGTGTGTGGGCAATGTGTTTACAACTGCGATGTTAACAAACAGTTGAATAGTTACACTTTCAAAGACATTTATCTTTCTTTAGTAACAGACCTCAATTAAACCCATAGATTACACAATTTGGAGCATCATTTTAGTAATTCAGTTGACAATTCAGAAAACATGTTATTTAACAAGACTCAACAGAACACAGAACTTTCGACCTATACATACAAGATCTATATCCAATAGATGAGGCATTACTTGACTACAACAGTTATCCCTTGTGATTGGAATTTCACACACTCCTGCTGTACATTTAACCTGTGAGATCTTCGGGGCACCTCTTATTCTAAAGGTATTTGGAACTGAACTTTCTCCAGTTGGCTAATCATGCTGGTATGCCAAGGTTCTCTTCTAAGTAGAGAAGGACAGCTGATGCTAATCCAGCTTCATATTGGTATTTTCCAGGGCTCTTCAGAAAGCGGCACACATTATGTTGTTATTTATAATAGCATGCATTACAGTTGTAATCTTCTAGCAAGTCCACGTGGAAAATAAATCTATACATGTTTAACTCATTAAGAGCCCTATTGTGTTGTCAGTAGTACTGGATTCAATTTTATTTCTAAAAGGCTAATGCTTTATACACATCAATGGTCATGTCAAAGCCCAAGGTTTATTTATATCTAAAATGTATAAAGTGAGTGAAATGGTTTATTAAAGCTAGTGCCGAAATGGAAAACGTACTCTGGTTAGGCTATTTAGTTTATTCTCAACCATCTCTAAAGTGTGGCATGCCTATAATGTTTTTCAGTGGTATTCACATTTAACACAAATCAGATGCTGACGGTCAGTAGAATGCTTATTGCTATATTCTTACTGGCAAGCATGTAAAGCAGTGACGCAGCATGGGTTGCCGTGCCTGGGCAAGGCAAGAATTGTACCCCCTAACCAGAGGACTGTTAACACTCCCTAAATCCCTTAACAGGTGCCTAGATAGCCTTGCTCCTCATTCCCTACTCGCCTCGTCTCCATCATGTGTGTGACACTGATAGTTGCGCTGCATCATTTTTAAAGTCTACCTCACGCCTATAGTAATGTGTATGGGCTAGGATATCGATACAATAACATTTGATAGGCATTTACACAATGCCTATTAATAGCGTGATTAACGGGGTGGGGGGCGGAAGGTGGCCCGCCCTGGGTGCCACTCACTATGGGGGTGTCATGGCTGCCAATGTCATGAGTCACCCCTCATCCATTCTTATAGTGCGGGTTGCAGCCCGCCAGCACTATACTGCAGTAATATGGAGGAGCAAGGGGAGGAGTGTTGCGGCATTTGGAGGCGCGCAATGTGACGCCGAAATGCGCCGACGCCTATTCGCCTTCAGATTCATGGAGCGGAAGGATTCGGCCTGATGTGGGGGCGGCACCGCAGCGGCAGTAGTGTCTGGAGCTAGAGTAGAGCATTCTCCACAATTTGAGTCATCATCACTTGTGAGTAGAGAATGCAATGTATGAACTTTATGTGAAACGGAAAATTCTTTATTTTTGTGGTGCTAGAATGAACATGCAAGTAGAGACATTTTGAAAATTCCAAGATTAGCATGTGAGAAAAACCATACGTCAAAATTTCAGCACCATTTTTGATAATCTAGTATGAATAAAAGACATGTCTAAGGGTTTTTATATGAAGGGTGTGTATGAACTTTATATTTCATGGGGTGTATGAGCTTCATGTGTGAAGGGGGGGCAGGGTTTTATATGAAGGGGGGGTCCTGCATTTTTATGTGTAGGGGGTGCAGGATTTTTATATAAAGGGGGTATAAATTTGATGTGTAGGCGGGGTGAAGGATTTTTAAAATGTATTTCAAGGTTAATTTATTTTTTATAGTTCCAGTTTTTTTAAGTTGATATTCAGTTTACAAATGTGTGCAACAAATATTTTTGAAAATATTTTAAAAAGTGTGGGTGTTTTTTTTACATTTTTAAGATGGGGGGAATTAGGGATAGTGCCAAGCACAGGGTCCACACCTGGTGTCAAATGCTCTTGGTACGCCCATGGAGGACAGTATGGCTGTAATTAGTAAGAAAACTGCTGTAAAAAGTGATGTAGCAATGTTTATTTGCCTGTCATGTTGAAAAACAGATTTTCTGCGCGAGGAGAAAGGCGAGCTGCTTTCCTTTTTTTCTTTTGAAATTTTGCACCCATTAAATCAGTTCCTCTTCTCCCTTAACGTAGAGCCTCGTCTCATGTGTGGAGGGGACAGCTATATTCACTCTGGGGATTGCTATAATCACTATACTCCCTTGGATTACAAGACTTGCTCTTGTAAGAGCATCCTGCTTTACTCTCTGGACTAGGAGAGGTCTACCCCCTGGAAGCTGAATCCTGGTCTTGGGTCCAGGGTGGATATAGGGCAGCAAAACCCCGACCAAGCTGTAACGCTGGCTGTGGGGTTTACAGTGGTTATGGTGGCCGGTGCGGTGCTTATGGTATTCAAGGATCGGGGTGCAAGGCGGTCCGTCACACAGGGCAACTGCCCCCCCTCCCCCCCGCCCCGTGGTGTTAATGGCAGAGGTCCTCTAGCACCATTACTTAGTAATGGAGCAAACCATTTTGCAAAAGTTTGCCTTTTTACTTGGGTCCCTGCTGGGCACCGAGTCATGCGCAGCAGGCTTACAATATGGCTCTTCAGCAAGAATGAAGAAGTTGGATGCATATCCTGCTGCTCAGTCAGTCAATCTCAACCAGCTAATGGATGACCCCGTGTGTATACTGTGCAAATAAATATTCACAGAACTGACACAGACCGGCTAATCACCACTAAAGCCATCTTTATTTTTAAAGAGTCATGTGCAAGTCCCATCACCATCCCCAGATCCTCACACACTTACTTAGACTTTGTCAGTGATATCTCACACACCAATCCCCCACTGTCAATCTCTATTTTCCACACACCTCGCCATATACGTCCAATTTTCCACACTTCCAAATACCACCACCATCATACACCCATAATGGGATCCTTCTTCTTTGATGCTCAGATGCCTACACTTTCCTTTCTTTTCACATATAATGAAACTTTCTCTTTATATTCTTGGTGTATGTACACTCCTGGGAATTACCCAAAAATAAACAACAAATTTTACTTTATTTCTTTATAAAAATTAAGTATATTTATTACCACAAAACAAATACATATCCATATGTATATAAACGCTGCTTGAAATTCCAAAGGGACAGGTTCAGAACATAACCTTTTCCAGAGAGAAGGTGACAGAGAGAGAGAGAGAGTAAGTTAATATAAAGAATGAAAGGATGTAATGAAGCCTGTCTGTACAGTTAAATCATATTTGAACATATATACAATTCCTATTGATTTAGAAGCACATTCTAGAACTTTTTGAAAAAGAGAGCTTTGGCTTATTGATACTCTATCCTATGCTCACCCAGATGACCATGTAATGTATGCCTAGAGATAGTTAATATTCCACACTATTACACACCTTTTCTTAGATATGATAATTCTTATCTGATTTCTATCCTTAATACTCTTTTACTGTGCTTTTAATCCCCATCTTTAGAAAAACAATAAGGAGTCGCAACAACAAAATAATTGTCAAAGAGATTTATTTAACCTGGGTGGAATTAACAACATTTCGACAACTTCATGGTCTTTGTCAAGCTGGCTCAAAACGTTGTCGGGTCCACGCAGGTGGAATAAATCTCTTTGACCATTTATTTTGTTGTTGCAGCTCCTTATTGTTTTTCGATTGCATGTGAGGAAATTGGAAGGAGACCTTGGAGATTTGCACCCATATTTTTAGTGCTGGCCCTCCCTATTGCTTTTGTCCCACACTATACTTTACAGTTGGCAAAATGCAGTTAGGCATATTGCATTATTCTATCTGCTACTCCATACTCAGAAAAATAGTCCATCACACACTATTCTGTGTCCATGGTAAAGTGTGACACACAGGACTGGAAAAGTAGGTGGAGGTCGTGGGTTTCAAGCGGACTGTTCCTATTTTACAGCACATTTTCTGTAATTTTTTCTATCACACCACTCACAGTCCTCACTAATGCAGCAGCAATTTCAGGCCAATCTATTACAATGTTCTCACCTTTCTCAGAAAGGATATCTGTATTAGAGATACCTGGAAACCTCATTAGTTCTGCTATTGGTATTTTTATAAGTGATGTTTATTAAACACAAATGAAAGGCTGCATTGGTATATGCTTTTCATTACTGTGGCTCATTGTAGCAGTGCAATGTCATTCTATGTAGACATGTCCTTTGTGTATACGTTAATCACATTCTCCAGGTTGTATTGGCATTGTGTTGCACATTATTTTTGTCACATGGGTGATTCTCAATAAATAGTTGTATTAATAAATAAAAAAACAAAAACAAACAGTGATAGGGCAATTCTCAACAATGGAATATATATATATCTCACCCTGATTTACCTGGCACATGAAGCAGGTAGGGGCATAAGGGAGGTTAAAAAACTGGGGCATAGCTACTAAGCATTTAAAAATAGAAACTGGGGAGTCATTGTTTCCCAGTCACTAGAAAGGCCCCATCCCATGCAAATACGGCCTGTAATATAGCAGGGGGCAAAGTTCCTTCTGTGCTAAAGTAGTGGGCATTGGGTGGGGGACGGTTTGTATCCTAATGACACCCCTGTGGGCATTGGGTATCAAATCTTATTTCCTTTAATCTTTTTTTTCCTTCAGCTTCAAAATTGACCAAAATGAAATCCATAACATGGCACAACTAAAAAAATGTAAAAATACCCAAATAAACATCATGAAACACCCAATTTGCAAAAGAACAGGCAAAAAAAAAAAAAATAACGTGGAAAAAACTGAAATGATCCATCTTCACACTGCAATAGCTCCATACAGAATCAGCTTCAAGGTGGGAAAATCGCTTCCTAAGGAAGCCAACCAATCAGAAAGCATTAACAGGCAAGTCTCACTTCTTTCAAGACTTGTTATGGGAATATGGGTATGGGAAAAGACTTCTGATGTTAAGTGTAATTTTTTTTTAATACTTTTTATTTATTTTTTTATTTTTTATAATTCTTTATTTATCGTGCATAGATATAGATAACATTTCTAGCCTAGCAATGCCACAATAGCGATTACCAGAGTTTTCAGACACATAAAATTACAGGTGCATGGCATGAGATACTGTGCATGTTTTTTAAGGTTAAAAACAAGTAACATTAGCATATGGTAGGTTAAACTAGCATATTGTTGAAGAGAAGAACAAAAAAAACAAAAACAAAAAAAAAAAACATGGAAGTATCTGGCTGTGTAACATCAGCAGATTGTTTTGAACTTGCTAAGCTAGGCAGTCTTGTGGTTAGTTTTGTTATGTTTAAAAATTATGTTAAATATATGGCATTGCATTTCTGAGAAGGTCTAACATGTATACTTATGCCCGAATTCTAACTGCGTAAATTCTTGTTTTAGTTGAGAGTATTTTAAATACTTTAAAGTGAGGCAGGTTAAACAATACATTTTGTTGTACAAACATGAGAATATTTGGCTTTATAACATCAATAGATTATTTTAAACTTGCTAAGCGAAACAGGTTTATGATTAATTCAAATGTCTTGAAGGTTATGTCAAATACATGGCATTGCGATTCTGAGAGGGTCAATCTGTTATACCTAGGCCATAATTATAACTGCTTATATTCTTTCTGTTGTTAAGAGTTAAGATATGCCTGTCAGGTAAAAAAAATAAATTAAAAAAAATAAAAATAAAATAAACATACTGCCTAAGGTCACCCGCGTTGTGTGTCATACGTCGGTAGAGTGTTGCAGTAGGTTTACAGACTATATAATTACTACATGCAAATTGTTGATTTGGGTGCTAATATATACACATGCTTGAGTACTCTGGTCTTGGAAGCCCCAATGGGTACAAGAGAGGGTGACCAGAGGCAGGCTGGCCAAACAAACACACATTGGTACATATATGATTAGACGTGTTCAGGCTATATATTTATGTGAGTTCTAATGCTTGTTGCCCTTAAAAGCGGTCTAAACATAAGAGCAAGTTGAGCATGTCTGGTGGGTCTCGGGATTAAAAGCAGAAAAGAAATAAACTAAAAATAAAGATAAGATTATCCTTTTTCTTCCCTTTTCTTCACCTTCCTTTCCCCTTTTCTAAGTAATTGTAAAAGTAAAAATAGTCCCCGTATTTCTGGCCTGAGTCTCTCCACCTAGCCCAGTTGGGGCAGGGACACAGGGTTGCCCGGTAGCGGGGGTCTTCGTTGGTATTAGGGGGCTTTGGTCTGTGTTATCAGGTCTCCGTAGTCCTGTCCGGCTGTGCCAGTCCTTGTTCGAGGTAGCTCGGCAGCTGTCAGAGTGTCAGTGGGTCGCAGGTTGTGTACTGTGTCCTTACCGAAGCCAGGTGGCGGATCCGAGACTCTGACAGGTGAGTATCTCTGTGCCTCTATGTCGTGATTGTTGAATATGTGTCCGGCGTAGAGCTTTGGGGGATGAATGGGGCGATCCGATCCGGTCCCAGGTATGGGTGCGGTTAGGGGAGCTGTTGTTATCCTTGTTGGCCAGTCTTGCCGGGGACAGCAATTCTCCAGGAGCCGGAGGAAGGCCGGGGCGTCCCGAATGTCCTGAATGTTATGCAAGTTCAATCCTCACTGGACTGTCAATGCCCTGGGGGACCGCCAGCGGTAATCAATCTTGCGGGCATGAAGAATTAAAGTGAGTGGCCGTAGCGACCTACATCAGGCCAGGGTGCCGCTGGACGGGTCTGTGTAGAGTGAGAGGTCCATGTTTTTGAAGCGGAAGGGGGTCTTGCCTCGGAGGGCAGACAGGATCACCACCTTATGTCCACTATTGCGGAGGGTCAGGATGACATCTCTCGTGGCCGTGGGTGGTGCGTTTGTTGGTTTAGGGACTCTGAAGACCCTTTCTGGGGTGATTGTTGATCTCTGTCTTAGTGGCTGTATTTCTAATAACATCGGCTCCATTAGTTTAGGCAGTTCGGCCTCTGTAATGTCCTCACGGACTCCCCTGATTTTAATGTTGGAAGCCCGCCTGGAGTCCTCGAGTGCCGCGAGGCGATGTTCATATTGCTGGGTCTGCTGTTCCAGGGCTTGTACGGTGTGTTGTACTGCAGCAACCTCCTCGGCCTGGGATTGTGAGGAGCCCTCCAGTTTGGAGATGCGGCCTGTCAGGCCTTTCAAGTCTGCGCAGAGCGCTATGACATCCTCGTGGAAGCTGCGTTTCAGGTCCGCCAGCAATGCCTTCAGGACCGATACGGTGATCGGCTCTGTGTCTGACCCTTTGCCGCCTTGTTGTGCCTTTTGTGGTGGATTAGGAGGCTGTGAGAGTCCCCCCTCTTCCTCATCGGATATGTCCTCGGAGAAATCCAAGCACCCGCCGTGCTGAGCCGCCATGTTTGTTTCGGAGGCTCCACGTGCTTGCCTCCACATCTCCCCTATCGTAAGTCCCGAGGTGGGCTTGTGTGGTATCGTTTTCTTCCCCTTTCTCCCCATTAGGTCTTGGGGTGTTTGCCTGTCGATTTGGATGTTAAGGGGGGGTATTTAATGTGTTTTTCTCTGTTTAAGGCTCGGAGCTCCCTTAGCTTGCGTCCGTTCGCTTCAGTGTTCAGGCTCTGCCCCCCTCTTTTATTAGTTTTTATGTTCCCCTGGAACTATCTCGTCATTCAGTGTTAAACCATTTTCGAGCAGGTTAACAATCAATGACAGTCCCTGGCATCCCAAAGATCTGCCACTACTGGCGGTGTGGCTAAGGTTGATATTAAACATCCTTCTACCGAAACCTCATTGGGTACTGTGCTAGTATGAAAGTGGTCAGCTGAAACTCTAAGCCAATCACAACTGGCCATTGAGGCTCAGGCAAAGTCTTCATCAGCAGAGAGGGGGGATCTCTCATATAGAGTTAAAACAGTTCAACACTGAATGGAGGATGGCAACAGGTGACTCTAGACACTGTAGCCACTTCAATGAGATGAAGCAGTTGCAGTGTCCCTTTGATGAAATGCTGTCTGTAATGGCTCCAACAGCATGGTAGTTTGGGATCCCGCCTTAATTTTTATTTAAAAAACAAAAACAATGTAATACTCGGGAAAAGAACAAAAATACTACAGATTTTGAGCTGAAAAAATAAATAAATATCAATAATAAGATAGGAAAATAAGAATAGCAACAACAAAAAAAAAATACTATCAGCAACAAGGTGCACTTGTTTTCACACTATATAAAGTGCCTGGCTGATATTTGTTGGAGAATGGGGATAAGGGCTCACTATTTGCCTAGAGTGTTCCTGTTTTGAAGATAATCCTTGAAAGCAAATCCTGCTGTGGTCCTTATGCTGAGGAGACACCATAACTGTTCTCAGGGCCATCTTTAATATGGATTGGACCCTGGGCAAACATTTGCTTGGGCCCCCTGAACCCGGTCGTCCCCTCCCTGGCATGCAATCATGCCCCCCCACCCCAACGCAGAGGCGGACGTAAAGTAGAGAGGGCTCTGGTGCATTAATTATTTTGGGCAAGAGGGGGCAAAAGGTAGATCCCCATCTGTCATGCAACTCCAACAATGCTTTGACAGCTGGGGCGCTACCATTTTCCTATGCATGCAGGGTTATATTTAGCACTGAGCAGTATTTGTGTGTTTGAGTGTAAGCATGTTTTTGTATGGAGTATGTTTGTGTGAATGTAGGGGTGTGTTTGTATGTGGAGATGGCATTTAAATACAAGTATGCATTTATGTGTAGTGTTGGTTTATGAATACACTGGTGTGTTTATATATAATTTTGTTGTTTAAAAAAAGAGGTGTATTTATATGTAGTGTTGAAGTTTGAATGCAGGTGTGTATTTGCGTGTAGTGTTGAATGCTGAGATGTATGTACAAATACACATGCACTGTCACAAACACACACACACACTGTGATACACATACACACAAACACTTGCAGATACACAGATATACACAATCATACAGATGCAGCTATACAGACACATTTACACACACTGACACACACACATACAGACACACAACCTGGCACACATGCAGACACGCAGATACACTGACAACATACAGATACACAGACACACACAATGACAACATACAGACACACAGATACATAACC